TATGTGAGTCACACACGTTTATGTGAGTCACACACGTTTATGTGAGTCACACATGTGTATGTGAGTCACACATGTGTATGTGAGTCACACATGTTTATGTGAGTCACACATGTTTATGTGAGTCACACATGTTTATGTAAGTCTCACAGGTTTATGTGAGTCACACACGTTTATGTGAGTCACACATGTTTATGTGAGTCACACACGTTTATGGAGTCAAACACGTTTATGTGAGTTACACACGTTTATGCGAGTCACACACGTTTATGCGAGTCACACACGTGTATGTGAATCACACTGGTGTATTTGAGTCACGCACGTTTATGTGAGTCACACATGTTTATGTGAGTCACACATGTTTATGTGAGTCACACACGTTTATGTGAGTCCCACGTTTATGTTAGTCACACACGTTTATGTGAGTCACACACGTTTATGTGAGTCAAACATGTGTATGTGAGTCACACCTGTGTATGTGAGTCACACATGTTTATGTGAGTCACACACGTTTATGTGAGTCACACATGTTTATGTAAACCTCACAGGTTTATGTGAGTCACACACGTTTATGTGAGTCACACATGTTTATGTGAGTCACACAGGTTTATGTGAGTCACACAGGTTTATGTGAGTCACCCACGTTTATGTGAGTCACACATGTGTATGTGAGTCACACACGTTTATGTGAGTCAGACACGTTTTATGTAAGTCACACATGTTATGTTAGTCACACATGTGTATGTGAGTCACACACGTTTATGTAAGTCACACATGTTTATGTGAGTCACACATGTGTATGTGAGTCACACACGTTTATGTGAGTCACACATGTTTATGTGAGTCACACACGTTTATGTGAGTCACACACGTTTATGTGAGTCACACATGTGTATGTGAGTCACACACGTTTATGTGAGTCACACATGTTTATGTGAATCACACACGTTTATGTGAGTCACACATGTTTATGTGAGTCACCCATGCACAGTCCGACCTGTCTATGCAGTTGTCAATGCTCTTCCACCTCCTACATCAGTGCAGCGTTACTGCTTACTGTCAAGCGGAGAAGAATGGAATCGTATCACACAAGAACGTGAGACATAAGAGGTAAACGTATCGTTTAAAGTAATCACGGAGTTACAATGTACAATGTATGCTATTATTGATAGGTGGATAAATACAGCAATGACGAGAAAACACGTGTCCACTTTCTGCTTGATTATATATAAGGTTATATATAAATAAAACATACATTTATAGAGCACAAGCATCTTCAACCAATTAGGTTTCGGTATTCAACCTTGAATCACCCTGACAGAATAACACTTCCGCCTATATACTACTGCACCGTTTCATGAAGTTTGTGTAAAAACGGTGTTAGAAAACAAAAATACATAAAGCAGAAGGAAATTACAGTTAACAAACGGACAGACAGGCGGATAAAATGTCATGTTAGGACGCATTGAAGAAGACGAACGTATTGTTAAAGAAAACTTGTCCAAATGTTCCTAAATATTAATGTACAAGGTGTGGGTTTTAGTCTTATATACAATAATATGTCAACCGGTAACCGGTAGAATCTATTTCTGTTAAGAGTAAAACTCTCTGGGAAAATCTTTAAAATCAGTACTACTTTAGAAAGGTAATTTAAATTTCCAGTAAAAACATCTTAAGAGTAACAAGTTAAAATCACTGTAAGAAAGCTATTCGAACACTAGCCTTAAATGTATAACAATGAGCTAAAGAGTATTGTTAGTAGTAGTAGTAGTTGTGGGAGTGGTAACAGTACAATCAGGTCTTCGTCCTGAGACAATACCTAACTTTTGGCTTTAATGCTGAGCGTTCGCCCAGGTGAGAAAGGCAATGGGTTGTGTCCGCAGGCCGGGACATACCAATGTCCTTCAACGTTCAGCATTAAGGGTAATGGCAACATGCGACCCGGGC